CTGGTGACAGCCCCGGGTTCCAGGCTGTGAGCCTTCCTTGTTCGAGTGTTTGTAATACCTGTCAGTCGTTTCAAAGGACCCAAACAGCCACTTCGGAGCAGATTTTGACGCTTGGCCAATGCTGAGTTCGGTTGGTCCTGTACCTGAAAATCCCAGCATGTATATTTTCAAATTAGAATGACGGTCTGGAAATTTCTGGTTCCGTATTTTGCATAGGTAAGCCACATGATACGTGGAGGTGGGCAGGGTTGTTTTCCACCAGAGTATCTTTGTATGTTGCTAAGAAAAAAAGAAAAAGATACAGTGTGAAGAAGACACATCCACAGCTGTAATGGCTGGGGGAGGAGGAGAAATTTGGGAGACACATCCACAGCTGTAATGGCTGGTGAAGCAGTAGAATTTGGGGGAAGATTGTTACTCAAATCGATAAAAGATTTTCCACGTAAGAAATTTCTGCCTGACAACAGCAGGAAGTTATCCTCTGTTGTGTCTCTTCTACCCCCACAGCTGCTCTTTTTAAACAAAGATGTTATAGTATAGTATTTCTTATGTGTGTTTTGGATACTTAGGAGCTCAGGTGGGAGTCAGGGATGTGTGATCAAAATAGATTTGATCATTTGTCTTATAGCTTCCTATATTTTAGAAGTCTTTGCCAGTGAGTTCACTAGTTTCTAGTACTAACAAGTGGGGTATTGCACAGGTGTAGTAAGCCAGGATCGAGGCACACAACGGATTAAAACTTTATGCTGCGGTATGGCTTGTATGGTTGGCTTGCCGATACGGCAATCTGTTCCGTGAGGCTTCTGTCGGAATATGATTTTAGCATAAAAGTCCACGTGTCTAGCTTGTGATTCAGTGTTGCATATGGGTTGAAACTCTGTGTTGTGCTTCTAAATACAGCGCAGTAACTTTTAAAAACAATTTTCTTGTTTTATATAGCTGTATTACCAAGTCTTAAATTTTGCTATGATAGTGTCGTCTGCCCTTATGATATGGAAAGGGCTGATCGTCATTACTGGAAGTGAAAGCCCTATTGTTGTGGTGCTCAGGTAAGTCAGCGTAAAGGCTTTTTTGTTAAAGTCCAAATATTGTTTTGTCCTTTGTCTCCTCCCCACCCCCCTTGGATAGGTTTGGAGTTTGAGCTCTCACCTACTTAAAGAAGTACTCAAACACTTATTTTCTTCTGTTTTCGGCCACTTAGCAAAGGCTGCTTTCATAGTTGCAGTCTAGTTTTCACAGAAGTTTGTAGAAACAGTAGACACATGAAACGTTTGAAAATCTAGGTTTGTCCACTTAATGAATAGATTAACTACTCAAGATTACTTACATATATTGCTACCTAGGGATAGTAATCCCTGGATAGGTGTTAGGATTCCAAAAGATTAATTCTGCTTTAATGGAAATACATGTAATCCTGTGAAGCTTCTGTTGTCTCCTGAAGAAAACAAGTAAATGCGTGGCACTTGCTGAAGCCATTGAACATTTTCAAGTCTTTTTTAATTTTTTTTTTACCATATGTATATTTATTTTAAAATTGTATTACAGTAAAACTCCTTTTATGAGTAAATTATATAGGTGCGTTGTTTCTCTCTCAGTGGTATCTTACTTCTGGTCTATAAAGAGCCAGTCCTGCAGATCCCTGAGTGCTGATTAAATGCATGAAGTGAAACGTGTTCATGGAAGATGTAGCCTTACAGAAACTGAATGTGTGTCAGCTAGGAATATATGCAGTGAATAACAGTATTTTAGTGGCAATTGTCTGTTCATGTCATTAGTGATGGGATCTGGAATCCTACCTTAAAGGTTGTTACCAAAAGATACTCTGCCTGGCTTTGAAAAAAGGCATGGATTTTCTGATCATTCGCAGTAACCATTGGTGTAAGCATAACTCTTGCTCGTGTTAAGTAAACTCTTTCTATGTATAGAAGTACTTCCTGTTGTACTGTGAAACATTCTTTGGCTCTTCACTAATGGATTGGTTTTATTAACCAGAATGGCTCCTTTTGTTCCTTTATCGTAGCTACAATACTGTTACTTTTCTATGCAGCTTCTTGCTTTCTTTCATTGAGGCAGTAACAAAGCGTTCTATAGGCTGGCTCAGCTTGGGACTTACTGAGGTTTGGGTTCTCTTAAATGTCCGTGTAATGTTACTGAATGGGTGAAGCTGCAGATTTCAGTTAAAATTGTGAGTTTATCTGTAAGAATGACATGTTCCTTGCTTTCATGGTGGTTCTTTCATTTACTACAGTCCTAATAAACTCTGTCTTTCTTTTTGTTTGTAGTGGCAGCATGGAACCAGCTTTTCACAGGGGAGACCTGTTGTTCTTAACGAATTTCCATGATGACCCAATCAGAGCTGGTGAAATAGTTGTTTTTAAAGTTGAAGGCAGAGACATTCCAATAGTTCACAGAGTAATCAAAATACATGAAAAGTAATGCAACTTGGCATTTTCCTTGTTTCTAAATACAGTTTCCTTCGCCGTGACTTTCACTTACATTTTAATTTGGTAGTATTTTATGAAAAAAGCAAGTTGAGGATATGCTCTAAGATAAAACTCATCTGTAGGATGTGATCCGCTTTTGTCCCAAATCCTGTGGCACGCTTCTTGAGACCCTGACTTGTCCCTCAGCAAAGTTGCTCAGGCTCGAAGTAGGTAAACCTATGCCAAGGAGGAGTCCAGTAACACAGGCTGTACCTGTCACTTTTGCCAGCAGTAGCAATATGTTTGGGAGCCGAGTCCGCTTCTGTACTGACTGGTTTAGAATTGGGATTTTGGTTATGAGAAATAGCTACTGCTAAAAGCAAATCTCTGAAAGAAGGTGAAGATTCAGAATCAGAAGTATAGATGAAGTTTGACAAGTATGTGGTGTTCGCTAACTGAAGTTTTCCACAAAACAGAGATTTGACTCAGAAAGAAAGAAGAGATTCTTGCTCTTTTTGTGTCTGTTAGTCACAATGCCAACAACAATTCATGCTGAAAAGCAGCAGGTAGATTACTTGGGTTTACCTTTATTGCATATGCCTGGTATGATAAACAGTTCCTTCTCAAACAAAAGAGAGGCAATCCTGTTTCTAATTCTGCGTAGCGAAAAGCTGACCTGGAGGTGGCAAGCATTGACACGTTTGCTCCTCAGGAGGTCCTGGCCATGAACTGAAGGTGTTTACCTTTTGAGTAATATCTATTCTTCAACACATTTTTGAAACAAATACGTATGTCCAAGAACTTATCTCTTTTTTTTATACCTAATTTGTCTTCATAAAACCTCCTTGTTTCTTGATATCATTACTTGCAATTAGCAGCTTCTTGAGCAAAATCACTTGGAAGGCTGTAAACTTAATAACTTTATTTAAATGGGAGTGTCGAACCAAAGTCTTGCATGCATCACCTGCACATATGCCTAATGTTTGAAAGGGAGCGAAACAGGGCAGGTGTCCTAACAGCAGAGGTTAAAGCATATCATGTTCAAAACGTAGCGTAAGAGACACCGTTAATCTGAAACGGTGGGGAAAGGTTGCGATTTGGGCGTGTTCAGGGTTTTAAACTTTGATTCCTACAGGAAGGACTGGGCCTTCTGCGTGGCCAACAGTCTCCAACAGTCCCCTAAAACCCCCCATCATGTTTTGTCCGCTTGATGTTATTTAAAGATTGCTTACGTGTTTGGGGTTTTTTTTATTTGCCACGTGAATAAATATCAAACGTAAGTGAGGGTTTGCCTGGAACTCACTAGATTGTTTAGCAAGTAACGAGTGACCTAAAACTGCGTTGCAGCATTTGTGACAAAACACTGAATGTGATGCAGATTTGCAGCTACTTTAGAGGATCTTCAATACTGACTTCCATCAAAAGAAGGACAAAACTTTATTTTGACATAAATATGATTACCAAGAGTTAAACAACTGTATAGATCTTAACACAATGCTTGAGGGGAATTTTCTTATCTCACTTTCTTTCCTAAGAGAAGATTTTTAGGGTCTAAGTCATCTGAAATTGTGATTTGAATTCAGTTAAATTCATTCTCTAATGTGTGATGACTTCACAGGATCTTATAGTCCACAACTTATAAAAAACCAACCAAACAGAACCCCCCACCTCTTAGTAGAGTATTATTCAGTATTTCAGAATTAAATTTCTGTTCTGTTGAAAATGCAGAGGGTTGGGGTTTGGGGTTTTTTTCCCTAGATAGGCACGTGCTGCTTTTGTTGAGGAAGCTTAGCGCCTGCTTTGGATGGACAATTTCCCTTTCACATCCATTGTGTAATTGCTTACATCAAATGACAATCTAGAGTGTTTTAAAAAACATTTCTTGTTAAAATCTATTGACTGTGTCAGTAAAGTCTGTAACATTAATGATTTAATGGTGTTTGTTAAATAAGCAGGCCTGGAAGTAAACATTGTTATCTAATCTTGTAGCGCTTTTCATCTTCATTGTGCTTTGTAGATATTAATTGAGGATTTTAAATTAAGTGGTATTTAGTGTATTACCTCATTGCCTTCTAGAGAAAATGGGAACATCAAATTTCTGACTAAAGGTGATAATAATGAAGTTGATGATAGAGGCTTGTACAAAGAAGGTCAGAACTGGTTAGAGAAGAAAGATGTTGTTGGAAGAGCAAGAGGGTAAGTAATGCAAAATGTCTATGTTCTTCATAATTAAAATAGAAAATTTAGAATTTAAATCAGTTCTGCTGTTGGTACAAACTAGATCTGGTATGGTGGGGTTTTAATTTCTTAAATAAAATAATAATTAAAAAAAACCTACTTTACCTGGAAAAGTTGCTTTCTGAAGTCCTCTTGCTGATGTGGAGAGTGGGAATTAATTTTTTGGAAAAACAGCACATTTAGCAAATAATTCACCAGTAAATAGAAAATTAACCAACTTATCTTTGTAATTGCTAGAAATTACTAGGAAATTATTTCCACGTTCTGCAGGAATTCTATGCAAGGTTTGAGCTTTTGACTTTGTACCCTTCCCCAAGTCAAGATGAAATCTAAGTTTGTTCTCAAATAACTTGATTAAATTTTTATTTAAGGAAAAAATTGATATGATTGTTTTACGCTGTTATTTGAAATGCTTTTGCTTAGAGTCTGTGGCAGAGTATTTTTGGGCTGTGAGAGTTAGTGATGCCGTGAGGAGTTTGGTCTGAGTTCTGCTTTGTTCAGTAGGCTAAGATTAATGTCATAGGCCAAACCCAGCGGCAGGTAGGACTTCTTGTATCACGCTAAGTAGTTGTGTATTTTCTTGCCTAATTTAAGAGTTCCTTATGTCCTCATAAATATAGGGTTAACTTACATAACAGTACAAAATGCCTTTCTGCAAGAATATTTACTTGCTTGATTTTTTTTTTTTTAGATTTTTTTCCTGCCTTCCAGTTAAATAAAAAAGAACAAGTGCCCCTCTAACCCTTTAATGCTGGTAGATGAGGTTAAATGCTAATTTTAAATATTTTCCCTATTAGTTTGAAACCCTTTCTGTGTTAGATTACATGGCTTTTATAGCTGCAGAACCACAGGACACCCTGAAAAGCTGATTCCCCTGTGTTGTAGGATGTTAGGCTTTTGTGGGTACCCGTCGTTACACTGATATTTACTTGCCATTTCTGGGATCTCCGTGTATTTTTAATGCTGCAAAAAACCTGCAGTAAGATGAAACATGGGAGGAGAGGGAAATCTGATAGATCTTGCTCACAAATTTTCATTAAGTACATATTGTCTTTAAAGCTCTTGCTGTCTATCTGTTTTTTTTCTCTGAAATCCATTATCTAAAATATTCAAGACTGAGTAACATTGAAACATTTCCATTTGATATTTGAGGGTTAATTTTATATTCATCTGTTTTGTCAATTACAGATTTTTGCCTTATGTTGGTATGGTAACTATAATAATGAATGACTATCCAAAATTTAAGGTACGTATACGGACATTTTGCATACTTTTATTTAAAACTATGAAATAGCAAGTAAAGGTAGCAAGAATCTTGCATATAAGAATACATCAGTAAATTTGTTCCTGTGGTTTGGTACCTAATGTGAAATAAGCTGTATTTTCTTGCTTATTTTAGCTTGTCTGTTACCCAGTAGAACTTAGTATTTGTAATCATTTGAAAACATCTAATTTACAGGAATTTTGTAAGTTAAGCGTATACAGTTGTGATGCGTGTTTATGATCTCATTAAAATATTCCTGTAATTCTATAGGAACACAACTCTGTGTACTCATCTAGAATGTGTAATGTTGGAGAGGGCACACTTTGAACAATTTGTAACTTCGGAGCTTCTATGAAGAGAAATTATAATCAGTCTTTATTCTCTATTTTCTTTTGCAGTATGCTCTTCTGGCAGTAATGGGAGCGTATGTACTGCTGAAACGCGAATCCTAAAAAAAAGAAAAAAAAAAAGTCACTCTTCCAAGAACAAAGTACAAAGTTAAATATACAGAGGGGAAAAAAACCTAATATATTTCAGATTTTTTCATTTCAGTATACAGTTACAAAACTGTGCAAACTTTTGTCTTGACTAAATAAACTGTACAACTAATGAGTAAAGCTTTTGACTGTTGGTTAATTATGCAATGGCATATTTACTGTCTTAAATAGATGCTGCTTTCAGTTAGCCTTTTGCTTGTTTGGAAGACACCGACTGTCATGTGCTAAAGCAGCTTTAGGCACTCCTTGGCAAGCTGTGTTGTTTTTCTTAAGTGGTACTGCATCTGAACCCACTTTCTCCCTCCTGTTTGTTCTCTTTTTGTTTTGTTTTTTTCCTTGATTATTTTTAATCTCTGTCAGCACCCTCTCTTTTCACAACCATACGTGCTGTTTTTATCGGTACTTGTAAGGACACAGCATATGGGTTGGAACAGGTAGTGAGTTGTAGGAGTTTAGTCAGACTTGTGCCTGAAGAAAGTTGTCTAGATGTGATCTGACAAAAATAGACAAGAAAGGGTCTTTCATTCTGATTAAGAACTAAGAAATGGAAACTCGGAGCTTTTTCTCTGAATTTGAAACTTGCTCCTTTGTGGTGTAGGGACAAAAAAACCCTAATGGCCTGATTTTGAGCGGCCTGATTTTTAGGGACTGTATGTTTCTAGAATTCAAGCTGTTAACCGCTCTGCCTTTATGTTCCTAGCTGTAAAACAAACCTAACAAGAAGATTTTGTGGGGGTTTAACACTTGTAAATTACTGAATTGAATAGCACAGTAGCGTACGTAAGGAATATTGCCAATAAGGGTAAGAGATAACTCATATTCCGGTTTTGAGAATGTATTGTTCTCTTTTATCATATGATACCTGAATAGTGTTAAACATAAAATTGATTTTTCATTTTAAAACTTGCCTGATAACTGAATTATGTGAAATTCTGGATTTTTCTCTTCTTGGCTTCAAATATCAGTGTTGTACCTTCAACAAAGTAGAACTTGTTTTCCTCGCTTGCTTTGTTTTTGTAGCTTTGGTAAGGAACAGCATGACGCTTTTTTCCTATGGAGTTTTGTTTCTTCTGTAATCCCTTACCTCTACAAAAATATACGATTATACAATAATGGTACCTCTTCTATTGTAACTGCTAGTGCTGAAAGGCAGATAACTGCTGACTTTTTCCAAGTAATATTACTTCTTTTGTGTCCTACTAAGCAGTCTTCATGACAAACTATTATAAAAATGACTTATTTTGTGTCAAATTGTGTAGAAATAAAATTGAGTATAATAAACGGCATGTCAGAATAATTTAGGTATCCTTAATGCAGTCTTCCCAGAAGTGTACCATCACAGTTAAGAAAACATAATTTTTGGAGACAGTGTATGTGTAGTAAGATTTCTCTCCCTCCCTAGTATTACTGAAATCAGAATTTATTCCTATCCACCTACCCCAGTGCAATCACAGTCAGCTCTAACTTGGAGAGCGGGCTTTTTGACATAACCCAAATGACACATTTGACACATTATTTTGGGAATTTACTCTTGTGTTGAGGAAACGGATTAGTAAAGTGACACGAGGATAACATCTAAATATGTGGGTTCATGCTCAGAAAAAAAGGTGGTGCTTCTTGGGTGTGATATCCTGTGCCTTGTTCTAACTCTTCTTGATAAATCTGAACCTGCAGAATTGACTTGCGCACGGGAGTAAAATATGGTTGTCAGTGAAAAGTGACTCTCTTAGTCAAATGTTGGATGATGGTGTGGGCCCAGTTTATCTTCCTGGTCTTAGCTGGATGCCTTCAGGTCTGCTAACTGCATCCACCAAAGCAGCTTTGGTCAGCCACATACAATAACTTGTTCAGCCATGTAGGTAATCTACTTTCTCTTTTGTGATAAACAATAGCTTTGTTTTCAGCTAGTAGAACCAGATGCTGTAATGGTAAATCTTCTATCAATATGAAAAGTTCCTGCCTGCATGGGAAGGGTATAAAGAAGATGGAGCCAGACTCTTCTCAGTGTGCCCGGTGACAAGGCAAGAGACAATTCCATCTGAACATCAAAAAAACCCCCACCAAACCAACCAAAAAACCAAACCCACCACAATTGACTGTGCAGATGATTGAACACTAAACCAGGCTAAAAACATTGTAAAAACAATAAAACATGGTACAGCTATTCTTATGTAGAAGAAAAGACATTTTTATATTAACCACCCCCCCCTTCAGGTTTAAGAATCTCATAACAGTCTTTAAAAAAAAAAAATCCTCACAGTATTTCTGTTGGTCACTAGCAAGCTTACCTTTTCCAGGAAGAAATGCATTAGTTTGCTAACTGGTGGCTATGTTCAAGCTGCCTGAGAGAGTGCTCGCCCAGCTGGACTGGGCTGCTCTCCATTCCGTTCTTGGCTTTCGTTCCCATGATGGTCTGAGCTACTTTAGGCGAACCATTGCTGATGATCCAGTTAGACAGCGCTGCTTAGTTCCTTAGAGTCAAAGTCAGGGAGGGAAGGAGTGGCAAAAGCGAGGGACAAACTGCGCTCATGCATGTGTTTTGGCAGGTTATAGATGGGGTGGACCAATAAAAAGAAAAGTGGGTTAAGATTCTACGTATTTGATGCATCAAGGTACTTTCCCTTTTTCTACAAATACAACTTCTTTCTTCAATTGCCTGCTCTGCTTCTAGGCTGCAGCTTCCCTTTGAAGTCAGGACAGATCACGTGTATATAACTGGTGGATCTACGGACTTACTAACGGGAGGCAGAGTGCTCCATTGATCCCTGAAACTGGTAGCTGGTTCACCTCAGCTCGCGTGCTGCTTAGACATCAGTACCCCCTGGGAAGGACGTCTGGCTTGGCTGTTGGTGTGAGATACCATGAGTTGGGTCACTGGAGAAAAGAAAAGAGCGTTTTAAAGCAAATGCCTCCAACCTAGCAAGGCCTTTGGATTTTATTTTTTTTTAAGGAAGATCGAAGTGCTGCAGGCACACACAGTATGTTTTTAACTAAGCAGTTAGGAGTAGGAGAAGCTCAGACTTTGTTTGAAGCTGGTTTTTCTTTCCAGTTGGCTGCCTTTCCGCAGCTTGGCTAAAACCTGCCCCAGCACACCCAGAGCTGTGCGGGCTGCAGCGTGTGCGGGAGGGGGCCGTGGGCATCGGGGGGACCCCTGGGCTGGAGCCAGCGCAGAGCCTCGGCGTGAGGCAGGGGCC